GTTGCTGCTGTTGCTGCTGTTGCTAGTTTTCTGTTTGTTACCCCTGCATGCAGCTTTTTTGGATGCCGGCTTACGCACGCGCCACTGCGGCAACCTCACACTATATACACTTCATCGTCGTCAGATCCAGATCGACCTGAAGCAACAATCTTCAAGGAAGCTGCTGCTTTCAACGTCTGTTATTCGTATTATTGAAAGAAAGTCACTGAGAAGCATGCCCAGTTGATAGGCTCTTCTTCTGGCTGTTCTTCTGGTTCGGGAGGATCTCGCTCTGGCCTCAATCAGGTCGCTAAGTAATCGTGCGCATGTTTACTACATCTGTTTTTGCGAAGTGCCCCCACCCGATACCAGTCGAAACCACTTCTGGACCTGTAATAGCCGTAGGGTTTGGGGTTTAGGGTTTAAGGGGGTATACTGTCATCGATACTAAGTAATTGAAAATAACTCCAAAGGAACTGGGAGTAGAGGGATGTGCAAGGTTTAGGTGGCCCTAATCCCCCATTTCATCCCCGCAATCCTGAACCTCCCAAGACACGGCCTGTATCTCAAAACCTTGAACCCTAAACCGTAAACCCAAGCCCCTACTTTGAGAAACATCGTGAATCCCACACAGGGCACGTGATCTTTGGCGCGTAGAGGGCAGCTTCTTTGTCCATGAGAACCTGCTGCTCTGCAGGAGTAGCAGTGTTCCAGACCTGTGGGCATGCCCGACATGATCACATACCCCGTACAGGTTGAGGGTTCAGGGTATGTTATCTGTAGGGTATGTTATCTGTATAACACACCCCCGCACACCCTAATAACCCATTTCCCCCCAATACACGATGGTACTGTATGGGGAGGGGTATTCCTTTTTAGGGGGTAGGGGGGCCGATTGACAAGGATAGCCGGCTACCATAGGAACGTATGTACAGAACCTACCTACAGTGGGCAGGGAATAGAAGGTCTATTGATTCTAGGCTCACAGGTTAAGGGTTCAGGGTTGAAGTTCGAGGCTTTGGGGGTTCGGGCTTAGGAATTTGGCCCTAAACCCTAAACCCTAAACAACTGTAGCAGCTTCTTGGAGGAAGCCTGGGACAACCAGCCACTGTCTTACTTGGAGGGTCAGGGGGACTTAGTAAGAAGGCTAATAATGGGGATAACCAGGGCTACTATATATGAGTTATAGGGGTTATTAACCTACTTACTAAGTCCCCCTGACCCTACAAGTAGGGAGCGTTATGGTATTCGTCTACCTACTTTTAGGGCATAGGCATAGGGCCTAAGGCTTGAACCTCATAAAGGAGGACTTCAACAGAAATGTAGGGATCCCGGATAAGACCATGCGAGTAATTCTGTGGAATGCAAAAATTAAGCCACTGTCTAAACTCCTTAAAGGGGGATTATATGCGGGCCTACTACAACACATAGGGGATGCTAGGAGTTTAGAGTATTTATATGATTTCACATTTCCGTACCTTCCCTTCGCCAAGCTCCAAGTCCAACTTGGCTGTCGCCAAGTTCTTCTCGGCCACAGCATCAAGGCCGGCAACGCCGATCCCCAGAAGTCCAAGCAAGGTAAACCCAAGCATTTCGCCTGGGATATTGTGTGGGTTTGGGCTTTACGGTTGGTACTTGCAACATAAATACTGGGCCACTTGCTTCTCATTCTGTACCTGCCCGATGCTTGAACTTTCCTTCTTTCTTTCCTAGTGGAATTTCCCAAAAAGCCGCCTTGAGTTTTCTGAGAAAAGGTCGGAATGGTGTCTTGGGAAGAATGCTTAAACATAAGCATGCAACAGTTCATGCCACAACGATGGCAGAGCTGCGTGCGCTCAGGTCCAAGGCAAGCATCCAAGGTCTTCAGATGCATTAAACCAAAATGCAGAGTCACGCAAGTCACCCCAGATCATCCCAACATGTGAGCCATTGTCTAAACTCCTAGTATCCCCCTTAATAAGCCCTATAGTAGTCCCTATATAATCCCCTATAGACCCCCAGTTTAAGGAGTTTAGACTATGGCTCACGTGGGGTATTTGTGGCCAATGTGAGCAGGCTGGAGAAATTGGAGTCCTGCTTTGCAAGTTCCGTGAACTGTGGGCACACCCCGATCCGCGAAATACTAGAAGAGTTTAAACCCTAAACCCCAAACCCTAAATCCAACACCCTAAACCCTAAACAGGAAAACTGCTGCAATTCTGTGCATGGCAACGCTACATCATGTGGAGGTCTCTCAAAAGAGGGGAGGCCCTTAGGGGCTTCAGGGATTACGAAGGGGTTTACTGGGAGCCCTACGAAGGAATTTATCAGGGTAACTTTGAGAGACTCCCATGTTTCAGCTAGCCCTTGCTTGCTTTATTCCCTGTAAAGCATGCCTGAGATTGGCTCAGCTGCATTCTCATCAAAGTCAGTCCTCCCCAACTGTGAGCTCCCCACCGTTATCCCCAAATGGTCCTACACTCTGAAATTTCCCCCCAAACCCCAACCCTAATAAAACCCTCAGGTCTAACAAGCCCAGAGTTGTTAAGAAACCACCGGGGCACATATGGGTTTCTTAAGACTGGGTGGCCCTTGGGGTACTAACGGATTAGATGGGTCCCGATCCAGCATTCTATAGAAATTTGGAGAAAGCCCCCATGAATGGAATTTAGCAGGGGCTTGTCGAAACAGGCCGTAGGCGCAAAGCATGGGGTTTCAAGTGGAAAGGCGTTCCAATCGCTATGAATGTATGCTCCCACAAGACAGGAAGCAAGTCTACCATCGCCCAAAACAAGCACAACTTCAAGCATGTCCAGATAATCTGTCGACCCCGAATTAGAATAGGATTTCATAGCACATTTGGGATCTAGTATACTGCTCCTGCAAATGGCTCTTACATGGTTCTCACTCCACTTGACCTTGAGAAAATCCTTCTTCCTCCTCCAACCCCAAAAATTCCCGCATGGAGCATTTTTCATGGGAATACTTAGCAACCTCCATTTAAGGCACCGCCTCATGACCCCCTCAGGGCTAATAACAGTCTCCAATACAGACTGGGCGTCTTGAAGGGTGATTTGGTAATTATTCCCATGATGGTTGTTTCCGTCAAGAAGTGGGCCCGAATCCTCAGCATGGGAACCCCCAGAAACAATCTCGCAACTTACTGGGGGTAAGTAGGGAATAAGAGAATACAACCTCTATATAGTCCCTGTATAGTATATTCCCATGGTCTCTATTAACCCCCAGTAAGAAAATTGCAAGGTCTTTCTTCCCGTTCTCCGAGCAGCGTGGCGGCACGCCCTGTGCTGCTTTCAGCATATCTCCCTTCGCAGCCCCAAAACCAATCCTTACCAGGGGCTGGTAGAGAATATGGGAACATGTTATAATAAAGGGACCATATAAAGGTTTAATTCCCTTTTTCGCTACTTCCTGGACTCCTAGCCAGGACACGCAGGTCCCCTGGAGTTTCCAACGAAGCAGGCTTAGGTTTTGGGACTTTGAAGGCCCCCAGGAGCACCGCGGCCCTTCAGGGGGCATTGCAGCTCTGCTAGCAAGGACTGCCAGCGCATCTCATACTACAGGAGTGCGAATACTTCGCAGTAGCAACTGGATGGCCCTGAGGCCCGACTGCGAGCTATCCAGACTCCTGCAGGACCTCAGCGTTTGCTGCGGTGACCGACAACTGCCTCCACCATTCTAAGGGTTCAGCTGCAGTCTCCAGAAATTACGGGGATTTGAGTTGAATTTCGTTCGCTATCCCATTCATGCAACCCACAGAAGAACCTTGTCTGCTTGAGATAACATCCTCTTTTGGCACTGCTTTCATGATTATTTTTCTTGCGAGCACCAGATTGTCCGTTATGTAACTCAAGATTTGGGGGTTTCCAAAAGTTAGGGGTCCCTTTTTAGGGGTCCCCATCATCAGGACTATAGTATTTTGGGGTCTATATTGGGGTCCCCCTATTTAGGGAAACTACCATGTTGTAAACCCTAAACCCTAAACCCTAAGCAGTTCTTCGGACGCGTCTAGGCTAGGCCTGGTGCACTCTTAGGCAGGAAGGGCTGCCAGAATCACCGCAGACGTCGCACAACTCAGCCCGAACTTCAAAACAACCTTCTTAGGGCTTAGGGCTTAGGATTTAAGGTTTAGGTTTTAGGGGTGTAGGGCTTAAGGTTTAGGATTTAAGGTTTAGGTTTTAGGGGTGAAGGGCTTAGAGTTTAGGATTTAAGGTTTAGGTTTTAGGGGTTCAGGGCTTAGGGTTCAGGGTTCATGGCAACCGCTGGAACGTGCAACGGCTTATGGCGCTTCTCGAAACAAGGGGACCCTTAGGGACATGGTATTTACGGGGGGCTATACGATCCTCATTGGGATTGTTATGAAAATCGCCGAGACAATCAGAGCTGTCGAGTTCTGCTTGCTAAGTCGGGATGGATCTCCAATGTCCAGAAAATGCGGAACTGCAATGAACAGGTAGGTTGCTGCCGGGCCTTTTTGTAATCATGTGAGCTATAGTCTAAACTCCTGGTATCCCCCTTAATGCCCCTGTAATAGTCCCTATATAATCCCTTATGTAGGCCCCCCTAAGGAGTTTAGATTCTGATTCATGTCATGTCATGCCCTTGAACCTTTTTCTCCGCATTTGGCCTTTGGCCAAAGTGGGGCCACCCGCCAAACGACAAGAAAGGGTAGCCTCCTGGCTGCACCCAGAGCTTAGGGCTTCAGAGTTTGAGGAACTTTTGTTTAAAGAGATTTTTGGATTCAGGGCTTTAGGGCTAAGGGCTTAGGGTTTAAGATTTAAATTTTAGGGCCTCGGGCTAAGGATTTTAGGGCTCAGGACTTAGGGTTCGCGGTTTTGATTTGCTAGTACACACCCACAGGTCTTTGACAGTCCTGAAGATTGCCAGAACCTTTCCTCTTAGCCCATCACGACTCTAAACAAATACTTCCAGGTCCTTGGTGATTGTGCTATGTGGGGTGATTGTTGAATCACTCTCCCTTTTTGAGGATACCCTGAAACTTGGGCACCAGAAGGAAGCATGATTTTGACAAGCTACCCTCTGGAATTGATCAAATGAATAAAGCGGGCGGTACTTTGCAAAAAGAGAAAACAAGATCATATTCTTCTGGTGATCACAGTTTCACTACCCAACAACCTTCCATAAGAAGAACATCGATTACTCTGTGGAGCTGTTTCCATTTTGCTTTTCTATTCCCTATGCCCTAAACCCGGACCCTCGATAGCAATTTGCGTTTTCTTCTCCATTCCTGCATTCACTTCTCTCTTGTGCGAGGTTGCTAGGAACAAAAACTATGTAGACCAAAGTGAGAACGTCTCGAAAGTAGAATTCGACCCAGATGAGAATCCAGCTGTGGCTACTTACTTGCCTCCACCTGACTCTACACCGTTAGCCCTACACCCTAGACCCTGACCCGAAAACCTAAACTGTAACCTAGGCTCCCATTCTTTGACACTGGGGCACCTAAATCTAGGGTCAGCCAGGAATGGTTTGCTGAAAGCAGAGCACCCAAGCGTAGATTGAGCGGCTGAGCGTTTGGGGTTCGGGATCAGAATGAAGTTTATGAGGCTTGAAATTTCAGGTTTAGGGTGAAGGGCTGGGGGCTTGGACTTGCTAACGTATGTACGTAAAGCAAACAGGACCTGAGGTTTATAGAATTTGTAGAGAGTTCACGTCCTGAGTGTTGTGCGGTTTAGCCCTATACAACTTCTGCTTTTGGAGATTGAAACTGCAGGGCTTGGGGTTTGGGATTTGGATTTTGAGCCTACACCCTAAACCCTACACCCCATTACAAGGGTTCGGGGTCTTGGAATTAAGGTTTCAACCCAAAGTACATTCAGAGAGCCCCCCAAATTCTGTTCAGACTTCCAGGGCCTCGAAGCCTAGACCCTAAACCCTTTCAATCTGGCATTTAGCTGCCCCTACCCGGTAACAGATGGATAACAATTATATTATGGTTATATATAGCCTTTTTTAGGACCCCTAATATAGACTGTTACTGAGTGGGGGCAGTACCCAAGGTCTAGGGGTTTAGAATTGAGGGAAACAGGTGAAACTTGACATGGGGGTTTCCCAACCATTTTGGGGGTCTCCATAATAAGGATTATATTATATTGGGGTCTATATTGGGGTCCCTTTATTTTGGGAAACTACCACATCTAGACCCTTCAGGTCTAGGCTTGTGTGGAATGAACGTAGCCAGGATTTCAGGTTCAGGAATTCGAATTTCGGATTCAGGGCCAGAAAGCCGAGGTTGTTTAACAGTTTAACGTTAAGCTCTCCAAAATCCGGAATACCCAACGCAAGCTACAAAGATTGGCTGTTTTTTCCGTTATATGGACCCCAAAATACTCTATAGGGATCCCAAAAAAGGTGCCCCAGTTTTTAGAAACCTCAAACCCTAAATTTTTCCATCTATTGTATACCCATATAAAACCCCTACAAACACCTTTTAGGGTACCCCTAATTTTTTTGAAACCCCTGGAGTTCATTGTTGGTTTGGGGGAGGGTGAACATGAGTCCAGCCAAGGCTAGGCCTGCTGGAGACCTGCCCCAAGACATTTGAGCCACCCCACGATCACGGTTTAGGGTTTAGGAATTTAGGGGTTTAGGGTTTAGGGGTTCAGGGTTTTGGGGGGGTTGGGGTTTAGGGTTTAGGCGGTTTTGGGTTATGATTCCTCAGTTACGGATCCCACTGCTTTGAGACTCCCAAAAGCAATGCAAATCCGAAAAGGGTGCTAACCGCCCCAGCGCTCTACCCACAAGACCAACATCACCATCTGGCCCCAAGGGGCCTGTGCTTGTCCCCAA